TCTGTTTTAGCATGTCTAATTTGAAAGCATAAAACAAGTTTCATTTATTCTTACAGTAGCCTTATGATTTTTTTGCTCAGAAATTCTGTGTTGTGTATTTACATTTTGTTTTAAGGCATAAAACATTCATTTAATCTATCTTTTAAGTAATGAAAATTAAATTACATTTTTTGGAAAATAAAGGTCATTTAATATTACAATTAAAACATTGAAGAAATATTGAATGCTTATTCCTTAAAAATAAAGTTTTAATAATTTTAGTAGTAGTAGAAGCGGTCTGTTACGTACATTCTACTCAACAATAGTAATATATTTCTGCCAATGCCCTCAAGTTAAACCAAACTTTTATTTTGACGGGTTGCCGTGAATACCATTACATTTCTGTGTGTGTATGACATGATGATAGTTTTCTGAAATGAAACGGTCAAATGCTAAAGAAGTGACTCTCAGAGCAGTTCTGGAGATGTTGTTCGTGTATTTATGTCCTCATGGCAGAGGTTAATATCACTGGAAGCGTCACCAGCGTTTCAGTACGAGTACTACACAAAACCGCGCGTCTGCGCCATTCATTAACACAGAGACACGCAGAATTCATATTTGAATATGAATCGAAGTGGGCTTACTTGTGTGTGTGTGTGTGTGTGTGTTTGAGCGCGCGCATCGGGCGGAACTCCGCTGTGCGTGATACAGAGAGCGCGACCATAACGTGGAATCTGAAATGACATGCCGTCCTGTAAATAAGATAAATAACATAAGGCTATTTAGTTTGCTTAATGAAAGAACAAGGTATAGACATGTTCTATAAGAAAGGTAAATTTAAATGACTTCTGTTGTGATCTGGAGCTACAGAGAAAATATAATTAAATAAAATGACCTTGACCTTCAAGGGGGGAGGGCCGCCCTCCTAAAATAATGGCAAACACTGTAACTAATAACAAAACCTTAAAAAAAAAACATGATCATTTAAACAAAATACTTTCAAATGTGGAGTGTCATGCAGGGAATTCTGGGAATATCAGTTTACAGTTTTTGACTGTAAATTATACATTGATCTGTTATTTTTATTTCTAAAAACTGTGAAATGAACAGCATTTTACTGTAAAATTACATGAAATGTCTGGTTAGATATTTTACAGTTTTTCCCTGTATATAGTACGGGAACTTACTGTTAACCTATTAACAGTTTTTTTCCGTAGCGTTTTTACAAAATGTTACAGTTAAAATTACACTTATTTTTTACAGTGTGCATAAAAAAGATCTGTAAAGTTGCAAAGACTAAAGTCTCAAATCCAAAGAGATATTCTTTATAAAAGTTAAGATTCAACCACGCCTACCTAAAATGGCTCGTTCTAACACGTCTATGTCACGATGTGGGAAGATTTGCATAACGCCGCCCAAATGTTCACGCAAAGAAAGAAGGCGTAACTTTTATTCTCGCTGTAATATTGTTGCCGCCGCCGCCGCCATGTCGTGAAGACACGTGTGTGTTTGTGTTCTGTGTGTTTCGTTGTGAAAGTGAAACTACTTTGTTTGGCCTTCCAAAATAGGACGATATCCACTTCATCACGCCTAGAGCTGATCTGTGCTGGTCGCTGAGGAAATACATCAACTTCGCGCTGTGGATCGCCGGATTGGCTTTCACCATGGACGAAGCGGAGTCCAGCCTGGGGTCGTCTCATGTGGTTGCCACAAGCACACCGGCCGCCGCTCACTCAAGTCGGCCTCCACTCACTCTAGGCCGCCGGCCGCAGCTCACTCTAGCCCGCAGTGTGTGACGCTGTGTTTAGTTGTGAAAGCGAAACTACTTTGTTTGGTCTTCCAAAAGAAAAAAATCAGTGGTTAAGTTGTATATCCAACACTGTTCCAGAACAGCTCAACCCAAATATTCCGATGTGTCCAGCGCATTTTATGGAGGACTGTTTCCTGATCGTGGAAGAGTAGACTACAAAGCCGGCTGTTCTGACTCACAGACTGTAAGTACGTTTTTTATATTTAAAGAATTTTCCACTGACGATTCAAACGCGAGTTTTGAGCAGTGTAGAGTATCGCTTGTTGTTTGTCATTTCTCCGATCACAAATGTAGACATGGTTTTATGTTAACGCGGCACGATGCAATGTAACGCGTAAAAAGACAGTATGGATGCAACAAATGCCTCGTTTATAATTGGTTTTTAATGTTTTTGTCTCGTCGCTCCGGCCGGAAACAAGGCATCACAGTATGGTAAGGGGCGTAACATTTCCGTCTCACGCTTGAGGTATTCGGACAATCACAACGCACTGGATAGCTGGCCAATCACAGCACACCTCGCTTTTCAGACCGATGAGCTTTGTAAAAATCGATGCGTTTCAGAAAGGCGGGGCAGAGGAGAAACAATAATGTATAGTATGTGGAAAATAATGTGTTTTTTTAACCTTAAACTGCATAAACACATTTCATTACACCAAATACACAAAATAATGTTCTTTTTAGCAACATCATATGACCCCTTTAAAATAAAGCAAATGATCTCCACATGACCCTTCACTTCATTTCAGTCTCTATGCACCATTTGCTTGCTTTTGCTCTCCCTCCTCTTGCAGTCATGCTCCCATTTCCCCATCCCTTCTTCTATTGCCAAGTGCCTTCATATGCCCACCATACTTGGCCACAAGTCACGTCACTTTTTTTTTATCTGGCTGACTCATCTATCCATATCGGAAAAAACTTTTCATCTCTCACTATCAGTATTCCTCCTTTTTTGTAATATATATATATAGTGCTTTTAACAATACAGATTTTGTCAAAGCAACTGTACAGCATTAATTAGGAAAATAGTGTATCAATAATGCAAAATGACAATAGTAAACACTAAATTTTCATCATTGAATTCAGTGATGTCATCATCCAGCTCAGTTCAGTTTAAATAGTGTCTGTGCAATCTTTTCTTAGCTGGACTCTCTGAGTAAAGGAATTACTGGGGTTCACATAAGGACAGGCTACACACCTACTGACTGCATCTCAGAACATTTCACTCTAACAGAACACATGCATTCAGTGCGATAAAAATAAGCAAAAACATGTTCCATAAAGGCTATTTTAGATGTGTGTATGTATGTATGTAACCACAAAAAGCACTTGGAAAACTGCACGTATAAAATAAATAAATAAATACAACTTTTGAGTATTTAAACTCTCAATTCTACAGGATATTGTTCATTATAATAAATATCCAATACATTCAAAAGTCACTTATAACAAAATCTGCTGTAAAAATGTAGATCCATTTTAATAGCATAAATGGTCTACAAAGATGATAATCTCTCATACTTATCTCCCATACACTTTTAAATTCTAACGAACTCTAACTGGAAGTAATGATAATGATGGCAATGTTAAATGCACTACATAGATATGATAGTCAAGTCAAGGAGATGATCACCACTGTGTCAGAATAGACTGCTTCTCGAGACATTCACTTAACAAACCCAGTGTTAAGAATCAATCAACCCCTGAAAAGGCCAGGAACACAGTGTTACTGGAGTTACTAAGACAATAATTGTTCCTACCTAAGTTTAAATGACCACTACAACACTGAATTTCTTTCTGCAGCTTATCCACGGATATTTCTTGGCCTTTAAAAGTCAACTGAAGGTCAGGACCCATACTTCATGTCTAATCACATTTGAAATGTTTAAAGGTTGACAACAAGTACAAATAAGACAGCAAAGGTGATTTTGTGGGACTCTTCTTGATTTGAAATGAAACTTGGATACCTTTACACATGGCAGCCAGCCACCTCTGTAGCCTGAGTCATTCTGGGCATTTTTAGATGGTGCTATCTGTATAGTGACTGATAATGAGAGCATCTATGCTGTGATATGTGACAGACATCTCAACGTATCTTGTCATAAGGAAAGTGAGACATACATATGAAAGATGAAGAGGTAAAACACAGTAATCTCACAATCATTTCCAGCCTTTTGTACAGGTAAAAAAAAAAAGTGGCACAAATGACTCCACATAATAGACTGAAAATGCTACACATATATCGAGGCCACTGAGTATAAAAATCCCCCAGACCTATAATAATAAAAATAAAAACAGCACAAAGTTGATCCCCAATCAAACAGCAATTCTTGATCATTTGCGGTCTGGCTTTACAGAATCGGAGAGGTCCAGCTCAATTCCTTTACAAACCAGAACAGTATCCAGTTACTTAATTTCACCAACAAAAGGTTACAACAACATTTCTAACACTTGCTCCCTTTAGTGAAAAATACAGACTGTTTTGCAACAACAAAACATGACAGTGAAAATGTTGCAGGCTGTGTTCATAACATAAATGACATTTAAATCGGACCGCATGTTGATAAGCAATTCACAGATTACTCATTTACCTACTGTGAAATAAACTGCTATGAGGCATGGGTGAGAAGTGCAGATGAGAAGTGATTTTAAGTTGGGTAGATAAATATTGTGAGATATATTGTGTGGCAGATCATAAAAGACATAACATTTCAATGCAGAAATTAGGTTATGCAATCATCTCAATAACATCAAAAACAAGACCTTCTAAAGCTTGATTATACAGACTGTTTTACATTTAAAAAAAAATTGAGATTCAATTAATTGACTGAGTGATTTGTGAATGTTGACTGGGGAAATCATGATGGATATATTCACAAGGTCATGGGACAAACACGGACACACACAGAGGTCACTGGACATTGATGTGATTTTGTGAGGCAGTCATGAGGGCGAAATAATGAATGAATAAGCACACTTATGGAAGAAGACAAAGTTGTTTATTTACATAACAGGAAAGTGTTAAAGGAGGAAGATACATTAAATAAATAATAAAAAAATAAATACATTTGACATTATTATCTGAATGTCTAAATGACCTCTATTCTAATATGAATGTTACGTATTTTAGAATAATAGTAATTACCAACTAGACTTCATCTGTGCTGTGGTAAACAAATGACATAGGCTATAGGCTAACGCAAAGTAAAGGTACCTGCTCCTTTGCTTATTTTTGTTGCGTTGCTTAATCCCTCTTTCTTCCTTTTTAGAGGGAGGATGATTGGAAACCACTTCTCTGGGATGTCTTTCGGGATAGTCATGTTGTCCCACCGTCGTTTCGTTTACACAGCTCTGCGCACACAGCAGTCGGACATCACACCAGCGGAGCGACAGAGAAACGCGCGCGCGGCAGCTGCAGACCGGCGGCGGATGACGGAGCGGTGCGTGGAAGACATCAGATTACAGACGCGGCGGTAAAATACACTTCACTCCCTCTCAGTTTTGATTTGCCGCAGAGTCCTTGAGGTCATTCGGTGTGATTCGATTACACTTTCACTAAACTAGTTCTCAAATGTTTTTACGCAGCGCGAGTATATATTACACTACACAACACCACTGTCTTTGCTCATCCATTTCAACTGAAGTAACTTTCTGCGTTCCAGCTATTCATGTAAAATGTTTGTTCTTGACTGAATATTTAAGTATAATAAAGGAATATGGCTTTAAATTGATAAATAAGCAAACATTAATTGACATTCAACTAAAATATCGATTTTTGACCAGGCTGAAGACGACATGTTATATTAACACTGTCAAAACACTGAGCAGAGCCACTAGAACTACGACGTTGTTTTTATATGACATAATCAGAAAGCCGTTCTATTGGTCGAGAATGTGGCCAATAGGAACTGGCTGAGGAGGTTGCCAAGGCAACTTAAGACTGCAGAGCTGTAAAACATGTATGGGTTAGAAGGAGCCAGCAACTATAGACTCATCTGGCAATGAAATATCCATACAGTTATAATAAGATTCAGAGCCAAAATGGCTGATAAACAGACAGTTTCATACTTTAGGGCAAGGAGGGGGGTGAGAAAGGGTGGCACTGCGGAAGACATCTGGACTAGTCAGGTGTCTCTGCACGTGCTATGTCTAGAGTGTGTGGAGAGAGAGGGAGTCTCGTGCCAAGGAAGGAAAACTCCCGACTGTTAAACACAATGCTCCAGCATATACTCACGTGTACATCTTTAACTTTTGATGTTGCACTGCACCACAGTGAAAACACACAATATTTGAAATTGCTTCTTAAATACTAACCACACTTTTTTGTTCATATCTGACTGCACCACAGAACACAACACAGGCAAATTAAATCAAACAGACAAGTTCAGGGAGGTTAAGGAGATTGCATTTTATAGGCCTTAAGCCGGGCGCACATTGTGTGATTTTTAAAATTCCTTTAGGATTGTACTTGTCAGACTGTATGAACATGATGATCATGTCACACTGTGGGATCTCACTCAGTTGTCAGACTGTACGACGCGTTAAAAACGTTCTACATTATCAACCCATACACGTTCAGTGACTGCGAGCTGCTGCAGCACTACACAACCACATGAAAACAGCGGCGCAACCGGTGTTTTTCATAGCAAAGGCAACATAATATGAATTCTGTGAGGAGAGGACCGGAGCGCCAGAGTTTATGGCAGTTAGAAGAATTCTCTAGCATTAATTCTGATCCTGGCTTGTCTTGAAAAATGAAGACAATTTGATGTTTGTCGTAAGAGAAGTCCCACTGCAGGACTGTGCACCAAAACTTCTGACACTGCCAGAATATAGTCGGAGGTCAAATTTGATTGCAACGACCATTAATCGGCTGTCGGTGAACATGTCAAACCAGCGATCAAAGACTACAGATTTTTGCCTAGGATTATAGGAATCTTTTAGGATTTTCAAAATTAGTTTCAGACGGCCAAATCGTGGCCAAAATCGCACAGTGTGAGCCGGGCTTCAAATGAGACTGTGAGGGATAGTTTTTATCATTGCATGAATGGTATAAATTGTAATTTTTGCTGACTCGTACTTTTCAAAACTGTTTTTCCTATTTTTGTAAAGACGTTTTGTCAGCTGAGCAATCTGTATGTTATTAAACAGCAATCCATTGAATGCACTGTACTTCTATCCCTCACTGCCTTGTTTTCATCCCCATCAAAAATGAAATATGGAGCTACCCTGACTAAGGTCTACTGATGCATGAAGAGCATATCTTTTAAGCTAATTTTCATAAGCATCACTGCTTAAGCTGAACAATGTTATAAAAAAAAACATTTTACCTGGTGGTGAATTTGTATGAATCTGTGCAATGTGATCTGTATATGGAAATGTACAATTTTTACAGAAAAGAAAGCATGAAGGTCCTAAACCGAATAGTAGTGGCAAATTACATTTTTGACAAGAATGAAAATGAGGCAGTGAGAGATAGAAGTAGAGTGTGTTCAGTGGATTGTACTGTTGTTTAATATACCGACTGTCCAATTGACAAAATTTCTTTAAAACAACTCATGATCTAGGACCTTTATAAAATGTATGCTATTGTAAAGACTGTTAGTCCATCCCTCACATCCTCGTTTTCATCCAAGTCAAATTCAATATGGCATCTAACCTGGTTCAGGACTATGAGGTGTAAGTAGATCATACAAATGAGATGTACAAATTCTGATGAATTAGCCACCAATTCACCAAAACGATTAATTTTGTTGACGAAAAATATTCGTCATAATTTATCAACAACAAAATTTTTTCACAGACAAAAACGAGATGATATCGAAGTAAAAACAATTTTTGAATGACAAAAACAATGATGAAAATCTACTGACATTTTCGTCAACAAATAATAACGAGACAAAAATGTTAGGGAGGGACGATTGGACAGAGATCCATTCAGAAAGAACTTACTGTGTGGAAAGGAGGGTATATGGCACACATTTCAACTCTAATGCTCTGATAATACGTTTGCATACACTTGCAGCACAGCTCATAAAACGTTAAAAAATGTCACCGTATGGGAGTAAGAGAAAAGCAGACATATGGATAAATTTGAAAAGCGTGACGATGCGAAAGAGCACTTAATTCGGTTAAAAATTAACTCTCAAACAGAGAACGACTACTGAATTCAGTTCTCTTTCGCATTTTAACAGAGAAATACACAAAAAATGATCTCAAATTGTCCGTTTTAAAGAGTTTTCAGATAAACACACTTGGTTATGTCTTAAGTGAATGTAAACTGTCGGGAGAATATAGCCAGTATACTGAATCTGTGCAGTCAGTTTTAAAGGGGCAACAGCCTAATTTACTTGTTGTCTGTCCCCTTATTGTTAATGAATCAACAAAAGAAAGAGAGGAAATCACTCACTGCTCTTGACAGAATCACTTTAGAAGCTCTCATAAGTATTAACCTAAGTTTAATTTATATAAATAAATGTCTTCTTGAAAGAATGAAGGATGTTGTATGCAAATTGTTATAAAGACTGAATATTATAGGCCCTATAACCATTGGTATTGCATTGAAAAGAGGAAAATATACTTGTTTTTTTATGAGAAGTGGTTTTATTTAATTTTGAGATAAAGACATGTTATGTGGAGTTAAATCTGTGTCTATATGGCATGTTCAAACCTTAATATCATTCATATTAACAGGGTAATATATGTTTTCTGCGGGCAGTGGTGTGTTGTAACGAAGTAATAATACTTCGTTACAGTACTTAAGTATTTTTGGGAATATCTGTACTTTACTTGATTTTTTATACAAACCCGATTCCAAAAAAGTTGGGACACTGTACAAATTGTGAATAAAAACAGAATGCAATGATGTGGAAGTTTCAAATTTCAATATTTTATTCAGAATACAACATAGATGACATATCAAATGTTTAAACTGAGAAAATGTATCATTTTAAGGGGAAAATAAGTTGATTTTAAATTTCATGGCATCAACACATCTCAAAAAAGTTGGGACAAGGCCATGTTTACCACTGTGTGGCATCCCCTCTTCTTTTTATAACAGTCTGCAAACGTCTGGGGACTGAGGAGACAAGTTGCTCAAGTTTAGGAATAGGAATGTTGTCCCATTCTTGTCTAATACAGGCTTCTAGTTGCTCAACTGTCTTAGGTCTTCTTTGTCGCATCTTCCTCTTTATGATGCGCCAAACGTTTTCTATGGGTGAAAGATCTGGACCGCAGGCTGGCCATTTCAGTACCCGGATCCTTCTACGCAGCCATGATGTTGTAATTGATGCAGTATGTGGTCTGGCATTGTCATGTTGGAAAATGCAAGGTCTTCCCTGAAAGAGACGACGTCTGGATTGACGAATCAGTGGTCTGCCATTTGCAAGTTAGACTCCTAAAAACACCTTTGCTCATGTGCAAAAAAGTGCGTGGCTGCCCGCACAATCGCGGATGATTAATTTTCCACTCAAGTCGAGTCAGGGGCGTGCGATACAGCATCGTCTGCGATAATATGGTAAGTGTTGTAATGAGAAATGTTTTATTACATTGGAATGAAAGACACTAAGTACCGGATGAAGTGCTTCTTATTCTTACCCGAAAATACAAAATGGAAGAAAGAGTGAAAACTGAACACAATCTTGCTACTCAAGCCGTGGATGAACATTTTTTATATATATTTATTTGCTTCTTTTCCATTTTGCATTTACTTGTACTTTTACGTTCAATACTTAAGTATGTGTAAGATTAAAAAAATACTTTTCATACTTAAGTACAATAAATATCATATACTTTAAGGCTTTTACTCAAGTAATATTCTAAACGGTGGCTTCAACTTCTACCAAAGTCATTTTCTGGTAAGATATCTGTACTTTTACTTGAGTATGGCTTTCAGGTTACTTTATACACCACTGTCTGTGGGAATATATGAGTTTGGAAATGTTAAAGAAACGCTTAATAAACACATTACACCGTAACTAAACCCATTAGATTATAGTCGACTAAATCTACTGTAGATTTACTTGATTAAAATCTTATGATATTTAGTCGACTGAAACTAGATTAAGAATAAAACAATTCAGATGACTAAAATATGACTAAAACCCCCTTCCATTGGACTATGGATAAAAAAAACTTATTAACATGTTTGGATTTTGAAGATCTTACATATGTAATAAAAAATAAATCCTCTGAATTTTATTTAATATTTGGAAGGTGTTTTTGGACTTTGTTAAAAATTTAGATATTGAAGAAAATGTGAAGTTATGGAATGTAAGAAGGTGTTTTTTTTTTTGTTTGTTTGTTTTTTAAACTTGCCTGGGGTATGTTCTGGGAAATTATGTTTTTTTGTTTTTGTTTTTTTTAAAAACCTTGTAAAAACTCAATAAAGATATGTTGTACAAAATATGACTAAAATTAAATGGTATTTTAGTCCAAAGACTATGACTAAAACTAAATAAAAATGTGCTGTCAAAATTAACACTGTTGCCATGAGAGTGAAGGTAGTGTTGAGGGGGCTTCTAAAATGAATATTAACAAACATTATTTTGCTGATACATAACGGTTAAAATTAAAGTGTGTATTTTAAATTCAGAGCACAATATGGCAATTAAATTTAAAAGTGTGTGTATGTGTGTGTTTAGGGAGAGTAGCTAATTGTTTACCTGAGGGAGGTCTCTTTCTGAACATTTCCACACCTCTGAAATTTTGCTGCTCCGTCCCATGGGAAAATCTACATCGACATGCAGACACACACAGCGAGAAAGAGAGAGA